AACAAACTACAGCCCTTGAGGGTCGACGCACTGATGGCTTTAAAAATCACAAAGGATTAAGGCCTTAGGGCCTACGCAAAAAGGTACTACGAGGTGTTCAATCGAATACCCGAATGCAACCAAGAGGTGGCGGTCGTGTCTTTCAAGAACGGCCTGAAAGATGACTGTTTACTACAGAAGTCTTTGGCAAAGACATTGCCAAAAAGCATGGAAGAACTCATGGCGAGAATCGAGAAGTACGCCAGAGCCGAGGAGGATACGTTGGGAAACAAAGAGACAAAACAGGAGAAAGGAAACAGCTCGCCAAAGCGAAGTCGAGGTAACAATGGATCGATCAAACAAGAAAAGAAATTGAGGGCTAAACAGGCAGTGACGACCGTGTTCCGAATCCCGGTCCACAAAGTCCTGGATCAAATACGAAACCAACCCTATTTCAGAGCACCGACGAGAACACCGGGGGAATTTATGGGAAGAAACGTCGGTAGGCGTTGTGCTTACCACAATGAAGAAGGGCACCCAACTCAGGGCTGCAGAGCCCTAAAAGCACACTTAGAAGACTTGGTGAGGCAAGGCCATTTGAGGGACCTTGTCGATGAGGCCAGGACAAGGGAAGAACAGGCAAGATTGCCTCAAGCACCAGTAACTCCTCCTCCCCAGCACAGCAACCACAGCCAGGAGGACCATGGGTGGTTAATGTAATTCACTCAGAGCTGAATGAAAACGACATACAAGGGGAGACCCATAAGGTAAAACACCTACAGCACGTGAACCAGGTCGAACATAAAAGACCTCGGCCTGAAGAATACCAGGGACCGACGATAGCCTTTACAGAAGCCGACCTAGAGATGGTCCAGCATCCACATAATGATGCCTTCGTAGTATCCCTCCAGGTTGGGGAGTGCCAAGTGAAACGCATCCTGATTGATCAAGGCAGCTCTTGCGACATCATATATGTTAGATGTTACAAGGAGCTGGGCCTTCATCCTGATGACTTGGAGCAATCTAATGGCCCGATGGTCAGCTTCAATGGAACGTCGACGTGGCCACTGGGCGCAACAAGCTTGGAAGTACAAACCGGCACTAAGAAGATCAAGACAGAATTCATGGTGATTGACACGCCCTCGCCATACAACATCATCTTGGGAAGGCCATGGTTGCATGCAATAGGGGCAGTTCCCTTAACGTTGCATCAATTACTACGGTTCCCAACAGAGCATGGGATTAAAGAAGTC